TGAATACGAAGTGGAGTAGTCAGGACTCAAACTGGCACTCCAATATGGGATGTAAGTGTCCCAAGAATTGGTTTAACCTGCTGCATCACAACTCCCATCTCACGTTCCCTTATTTTCAGCCTCCAAAGTTGAACTTGATACCAAAGCCATCCAATTACAACTGATATTCCGAAGCCAGTTGTGCTTTAGCAGGGATCTGGGTGCAGGAGGGTAGGTGGGCCCAAGCCATTAATCACCACCCGAAGAACACAGATATTCTTCAAGTAAACTGCTGTGAGATCTAAGTTGTTATACACATATAGGCACGCATATAAAGCACATGAAGTTTTAATGCATATTTTTGGGTAGATATATTTTAAAGTCCTTCCCAATCCGTAACTCTAGGCCAATCACACATTTCATCTTCTGACATTGATGTGTCATGTGACCAGAGCATCTGGATTACGATGCAGACACTGAATCAGAACTGGCTGAGCCAGAGGAGCCTCACTAAGCATTCACTCTCCATGGGAACTGCTGGAGAGGAGAGATACATGTCAGGGAAGACTACTGGTTCACTTTTGGAAATTCTGATGAGTAATTTTTTCTAATTAACTGGCACATTCAAGTATTTATATTTTCTTATAACACTAGAGCAATGAGCCTCATTGCTTGGCAAAAATGAAAAGAGAACTAGATTGTCTCATATTAGAAATGAAAATAATACAAATGCATATATAGAATCTGAAAGCTTACACCTACAGCAATCTTGAGGTTGGAGCAAGTTAATATCAATATGAGAGAGTCAGTGTGTTTTATAACTTCAACATTATCAGAAAATCTCAAATTTATCACTACTGATATGAAAATAATACAAAGGGCCAGGCAGGTCTGGTTTTACAGTGCATTGGGTAAAGCCACCACTAGGGCCGCCCTCATCTGGTATCCATTGAAGTGCCAATGCAAACAAATCTTTTTTCTTTTTGGGGGGATTTAAAAGTATTTATTAGAATCAAGGACCTCTAGCTGGAGTGGCATGGAGGTGGGGACTTCAAAGAGAGGAAAGAACTCCAAAGGCCCCACAGCATTTGGGTTTTTAAGTACAGTTTGGGAGGAACAAAAAAAAAAAAAAAAAACTTGACAATCAGATTGTCATTCAGTTCGCAGGTGGGGAAAAAGACCCATCAAAAGGCCTGATTTACTATTCCCCGTCCTGTCTGGCCTGCCAAAACAAGAAACCATAGGTAACTTCTTTTCACAATAAGCTGTGAGCTCAGGAAGAGCTCCCTTGCTATTCTCATGGTGAACCTGGAAGGAAGGAGGGTGGCCTGTTTGTTCTTGCTAAAGATAATGTTTTGGGGAAGGAAGCAAATATTTCACACCCCAAATCTTTTTTAAATATCTATTTACTTATTTACTTGAAACTCAGAGTTACAGAGAGAGAGTAAGAGACAGAGAGAGAAATCTTCCATCCACTGGTTCAACCACAGATGGCTGCAATGGCCAGCGTTGGGCCAAGCTGAAGCCAGGAGCCAGAATATTCATCTAGGTCTCACTTGAGTGGCTGGGGCCCAAACACTTGAGCCATCTTCTGCTGCTTTCCCCAGTGCATTAACAGGGAACTGAATTGGAAGTGGAGCAGCTGGGGCATGACACTGGATGCTGGTGTTGCATGTGGCAGCTTTACCTGCTGTGTCACAATGCCAGCCCCCAAACAGATGTTAAAAGATTTATTTATTTTATTTATTTAAATGGCAGAACAACAGAGAATTAGGAGGAAAAGGAAGAAGAGAGAGAGAAAGAGAAAGACAGGGGAGAGAGAGAGGGAAAGAGAGTGAGAGATATCTTATATCCACTGGTTCACTCCCCAGATTGCTGTAACAGAAAGGAGCTAGGCCAGGCTGAAGCCAGGAGTCAGGAACCCTATCTATGTGAGTGGCCCTAGAACTGGCACTCCAATAGTTCAGTCTGCAGCTTAACCCATTATGCTGCAATACTGGCTTCCCAAAACAATCTTGAAAAAAAAAAAAAAAAGGATATATAACTTAAAAAAGAACACAGGGAAAGAATGAATAATGAAAAATTAAATGACAAAATATAATGCCACAGTTAATATTTTTAAAAAATGATGAAAAATACTAAAATCAGACAATTTTATTTCAAAAGAAAAGATATTATAAAGGAGAAAAACAAAATGCTTATTCAATGATTAAATGTATGGATTGTAAGGAAATAGAGTAGTTATGAACCTTTACCTGTTGAATAGCATATCCAACTAAACTAAAAATAGTTGAAATAAAAAATTGTATCTTGTAATATTAGCTAGAACATTTTTCACATATTTCATGGTATTTGAAAAATCGCAAAAACTACAGGTAACATTTTTTTAATTTGAGAGACAGACTGAGGAGAGAGAGAAAAATATTTTTCTGTCTGCTAGTTCAGTCTTCAAATGCCTTCAATCACTGGCACTGCATCAGGCCAAACTCAGGAGCCTGGAACTCAGCCCAGGTCACCATACGCTGGCAGGGACCCACTGAGCCATCTCCTGCTCTAGAGGTGAACTACTAAAAGAGGGAAATAATAAGGTTAAAATAAAATGGATTAAGTAGCTAAAAAGCAACTCCTTTCAAATTCTCATTAAACCTTTATAAGCTTTTAGCCTAACAAGGTACAATGAAAAGACTTGTAACATTCAAATCTGTAAAAGTAATATTTTTGAACACATACAACAAAAATTAGCAATGGGTTAAATAACCAAAAATACACACATAGAAATTTTGATATTGTCCACAAATAACTCTTAGCTTCTAGAGAAAAGCAGCAATATAATTACAGAACATTAGCAAATAATTGTGATATTATATGCCAATTATTATGAATTACGACCAAAGCTGTGTACAAACTAAATCTCATTGCAACAAAGGAAATATTATTATTAAATAAAAAGAAGTGAAAATACATTAATAAAAAGTAAACTCAAGAAGTGAGAAAATCATTAATAAAATTAACCCATGAAATAGATGCAATTAAAATACAATTTTGAGTTGATAATAAGAAAACAGAAACACTAAAATAAATAAATCCAAGACTGGATTTTAAATAAAAACAACTAGTAGAATTCTTCCATGAAGGCTTCAATACATCAAACCAAAGAGAAAATAACAACTTCAGAGGCAAAGAGGGACCTGGCCCTGTGGCATAGCAGGTTATGGCACCAGCATCCTATATGGGCACTGGTTGCATTCCGGCTGCTCCACTTCCAATCCAGCTCCCTACTAATGTGCCTAGGAAAGCAGTGGAAGATGGCCCACGTGCTTGGACCTTGCACTCATGTGAGAAACCCAAAAGAACCTCCTGGATCCTGGCTTCAGATTAGCCCAGCTCTGGCCATTGTGGGCATTTAGAGAGTGAAATTGGATAGAAGATTCTCTCTCCTCTCTCTCTCTGTCTCTCTCTCTCTCTCTGTCTCTCTCTCTCTCTCTTTTCCCTCTCTATTTCTTTCTGACTCTGCCTTTCAAATAAGTAAATAAACCTTATAAAAAATTAGGAAAAGAGGGCATTTATAGAAAATGAGAACAAAACTCCATAAACAATCAGTAATTTTTAAGCAAACTAGAATGCAAACTGCACTCTGACAATTGTGAAAATCTTGATGAACTGGACTCACTTAGAGGAAACCTACATACACTATTTTGACTCAGTGCAGAGGCATGTATTTTCCCACCTGCTCCTGTGGTGTTCTGAAGAGAACAGCACCACAGCCCCTGGAGGAGGAGAGCTAAAAACTCCAGGACCCTGGCCCGTACTTCTCTGCCAGGGTGGACAACTAACCTGATCTGTTCAACTGTCATTTTCTGTGTGACAACAGAATTCTATCCTCTTCATCCTTCACTTATTTAGCACTTTCTGTCCTCTGCTAGTAGGAATATCACTAATACACCACCTGCTTTACTATTTAGCTGCTTTACTATTAGATGCTTAAAAATTATCTACCTCCTCTCCCTTGCTCCACACAAATAAATGCAAGATATTCATTGGAGTTTTCATAGTACAGTATTGATTCCCAGATCAATAGGGACTGGCAACTAGTTGGATGTATATAAATTATATATATACACACACATATAAAATGAACAAACGAATAAGATACTGAGCTGTCATCTGCAGAGAATCGCATTGATGATTTGTAACACTTTGATAAGGGTTCATGAAGACAAAAAGTTTGACACTACCATTTATGTCACTGAAGACTATGTCTAAGTGACTACAGACATCTGTCTGTTCATTCAAGAAAGAAACTGAATACAGGGAGTAAGAGAGGTGTTAGAGTGGAGTAGTAGAGAAGAGTTCGGGGAAAGAAGAAAAAAGTAAAGGTTTCCAGTTCCCCTTCCCATTTTCATGAAGACCTTGCTACTTTTATACAACTGGAGTCCATGAAGAACAATAAAAATTTATTTGAATCTCTGATTGCCAATTTTAAATTACACTGGGTTCATATTATGTTTTCTACACTCTCTTACATGTGTCCATTTAGGATAAAAATTATCGATCCTGGGTTTGCATCAGTTTCAACTATGAGTTTTCATGTTTATTGATCTTGTTTTCTTCTTTATTCTAAGGCATAGGCTCCACTAAGCCCCACTGGGTAGTTGTAAGGTGGAGTCACACTGAGAACTTTACTTTGCTCAAAGAATTCTATTAAAACCCTTTCCAACCCAACTCATTCAAATATGTTAGTCTCTTTCCCTCTTCTGTCAAAAGTTTTAATTTGGAAAGCAACCTAAACAAAAACAACTAGCTCCACCTGCTTCCAACTCATTCACAGTTGTTTAAATTTTCAGGTACATCTAATCATTATTTTAAAGCTTGGATTCATAAATGTATTTTTTTATATTTTTCTAGAGATTAAATGACTAAGACACTGTCAATGGAATTTTCAAGTTCTCAGTTTTCCCCATGGCAATATTCATTTGACCAAGAAGCTGGAATTCTAAACACAAGGAGATTAAGTCAAATACCTGCAGAGGTGCTTCAGTCTGCTTTTCTCTTAGCACTGGAGCAGCTGGATTTTCCTGAGGGGTTTTTGATGCCTTCCTTTTGGCTTTTTCCATTTGAATATTGGTGAAATAGTTGACAGCAGCAAATTCAATAAGGGCCGAAAACACAAAAGCAAAGCAGACAGCAATGAACCAGTCCATGGCAGTAGCATAGGACACTTTGGGCAAAGAATGGCGTGCACTGATGCTCAGTGTGGTCATGGTGAGAACTGTGGTTATTCCTTGAAGGCAAAAAAGTAAACAGACAAAAAATCTTACTGTTACTCCAGTGCAAAACAAGCAAACAAATAAAAACTCTACAGGAAGAGGTGGAGAGAGGCTTTAACACAGTTAGTAACAACTCAACAAAACCATCTTCTATGGAGGTTTTAGGGCCTCGTGGGTGAGCACAGGCTTTGTAGTGGGACAGATATGGTTACAATCCTGCCTCTTCTAATCATTAGAACTTGATTTGGATCAAGTTTAGAATACTCACTGGGCTTTATTTTGCACCTACCTATTAGGATTTCTATAAAGACTAACGGCATAGAAAAGGTATTTGCACATAATAGTATACTGGATCTGAGCCAACAAACCTGTGAAATTCAACCCACCTAGCAGGAAGAGACTCATCAAACAGTGATTCTCAACCAGAATTGTTGGGATGTTGGGATGTTGGGAATATGGGCCTCTGGAATTGGAGCATCGGAATATCTGTGCTAAGCATGGCCTACGGCTAGTGAGTTTCACTGCCAGACAAAATACAAGTAATATATAGATCTTTCTTACCTTTTTAATCAAAAGTTATCTATTGAATTAGGACAATAAATTTACAGTTGTTGAGGAGTCTATTAAAAGCAACAAAAATATGTTCCTCAACAATTTCTAAAGCAATTTGGCTTTTAAAATATTGGATATGTGCAACCAACACATTATGGCTGGGAGAAAAATATCTGCAGCAAGAACAGAGGCACTGCTCTTCCATCAGCAGATTTCAAACACTGCATCCATGAACGCTATCTCCTCAGCCTGGAAAAAGTCCTCTTGCCATTGAACTAGAGAGCAATCTGTTATTGAAAGATGCTAGTATCTATGCAGTTGTCCTTTTGTGTCTGATTCACATTATGGAGTTAAGGCTGAAAATTTCTGGGGGAATTTATCATTTCCATTTGAACTTATTCTATTCAATGCCTAGGATAGGTCCAAAGTTGACACATTGAGGTGTTTGGGGTGATGATGATGGTGAGGGTGGTGGTGATGATGATGGCGATGAAGAAAGTATATAAATTGGATATTCCAGTCCATGTCAATACCCAGCTGGAAGGAAAATAACATGAGTTAAACTGAAGAAATAGTGAACCCCAAACAACAATAATGAAATAATAGTATTTTGCTTTAGAATTTGGCACTGTTGTCTGAACTCAGCATTTAAACACATCCTTCCCTGTGCTGTCCCCATTCTGCTCCACATTTACAAGCCTTGTTTCCACTTGGTTGAGCATCACCTCCTTGAGGACAGACATGTCTAATATTGCTTCTAGGCGTCACATGCATAATATTTCACATAGTGCCGGGCACATGATAAATGAAGAGTAAAAAAAAATTCATTTTTCCAGCTCCTCACCAATCCATTTTCTCTGAATTCTGGTTGTCTTCTCCATCTCCAGTGCACAGAAGATGAAAAATTGGAGTAACTGTGTATCACATGAGCAATAGACCTTTTTAGAAACATTCTATAAACTACATACAGAAATAAATTTGAGGATTTGGTTATATTCTCTTTTTTCAATTTCTGTGACTTTTAGCATTTTATTATTCTAAAACAGATTTTAAAATGAATTCATATATATATATACCTACATATTTATGAAAATAAACTTTTTAAAAATATTAGACATCATTTCAGAAAGACACCTTAGAATATTTAAGCTTCCATTTTAAATCTCAAAAAATAGCACCATTCCCATGCTGACTGTGAGGTACAGAATAAATCCTAAGGTGAATTTTTTTTAAAAAAATTTTTTAAAAATTTATTTGAAAAACAGAGATACAGAGAGAAGGTGGGAGAGATGGAGGGAGGGAGACAGAGAGAGATCTTTCATCTGCTGGTTCACTCCCGAGATGGCCACAATGGCCACAGCTGAGCAAAGCTAAAGCTAGGAGCCGAGAGTTTCATCTGGGTCTCCTGCATGGGTGCACGGGCCCAAATGCTTGGGCCATCTTCTGCTGTTTTCCCAGGCACATTAGCAGGGAGCTGGATCAGAAGCATAGTATATGGCACTCAAACTGGTGCCCATGTGAGATGCTGGATTCACAGGCAGTGGCTTTACCCCCTATGCCACCATGTGGGCCCTGGAAAATTTTAGTTACAAAATTTGGCAATAAATCAAAATGTTTCTTTTTATTCATTAAAAAACTTAATGGGAATATTAAGCATTAAACATTGTTCTACAATTTTTTACATATGTAAGCTTGTTTCCTTTAATGTCAAGGAAATCCTGCTAAAAGGACTTGGGAAATAAAATATGAACACTGCAGTATAAATAGGAATATTACGGGACTGGTGCTGTGGCATAGCAGGTAAAGCTGCTGCCTGTGGCACCAGCATCCCATGTGGTCACCTGTTTGTGTCCCAGCTGCTCCACTTCTGATCCAGGTCCCCGCTAATGTGCCTGGGAAGGCAAAGGAAGATGCCCCAAGCACTTGGGCCCCTGCATTCACATAGGAGATCCAGAAGGAGGTCCTGGCTCCTTGCTCTGACTTGGGCTACTCCCAGCTATTGCAGCCAGTTGGGGAGTGAACCAGCAGATGGAAGACATTCTCTCTCTCTCTCTCTCTCTCTCTCTCTCTTTCTGTGTGTTTGTGTGTGTGTAACTGCCTTTCAAATAAATAAATTCTTAAGAAAAGTATACTACTCGATACTCAGCTACAAGGACTATAATGTGATAATTATAAACAAAACTCAAATTCAAACACAAGAAATTTAATATTTTCCATGTTACTTTAAACATTTTCTGTAACAGAATGATTTATCCTGAGGATTAAAACTGGTCATCTCCACCTTCTCCGATTTCTATATGAAAAAAATCCCCCACTGAGGTCTAATAAGCTAACAACTAATGCAACAGTTGAATAAAAAATCCAAAAATTTACATTGTGCTTACTAAGGACAGATAGATTACCAAGTTTATGATTTAAATGATGCTGTGGACACCAATCCAAAACTGATATTGGATATGTTACTACTAACTATTTCCCATTGCTTCAAATTTCATTGCTTCTCTTTCATTGATTTCAAAGTTTGTGTAATAGCCCTGCAGATGTTATGTTTTCTGTTTTATGACTGTTGGCAAAATTCGGAAAGTATCTGGCATAATCAACTGGCTACATGTATGAAAGTCACCATCTCTTTGGACATTAAAATGTTCTCTCTCTCTGGTGTTCAAATATGAAGAATGAACTACCGGCCGGCACTGCGGCTCACTAGGCTAATCCTCCGCCTTGCAGCGCCGACACACCGGGTTCTAGTCCCGGTCGGGGCGCCAGATTCTGTCCCGGTTGCCCCTCTTCCAGGCCAGCTCTCTGCTGTGGCCAGGGAGTGCAGTGGAGGATGGCCCAAGTGCTTGGGCCCTGCACCCATGGGAGACCAGGAAAAGCACCTGGCTCCTGCCATCGGATCAGCGCGGTGCGGCCGGCCGCGGCGGCCATTGGCGGGTGAACCAACGGCAAAGGAAGACCTTTCTCTCTGTCTCTCTCTCTCACTGTTCACTCTGCCTGTCCAAAAAATAATAATAATAATAAAAAAGAATGAACTACCATGATAGGGATGTTCTCATTGTCCCTGATTTTAGGTGGAGCATTTAATTAAAGAAATACACAGCAGAGAGGAAACAGAAACCATCCCTCCAGGAAAGAACCCTTGCTTTCTCTGCATCTAGGCGGTGTACATAGTAACTGACTTTTCCACCATCAACTTTGAGGGTATTTCAAAGCCATAATTAATTTTTTTGGTGTATTCAGGCTGATTTCCATAGTTTACAAAAGCTGAATCTACACCATATTGGTTGTCTTAGGAGCTGGGAAAGAATGTGTAAGAAAAGGCTAAGACCATACACAAGAATGAAGTTTTGGCTGGCCACTCCTAGAAAATAGCAATGACTTACTTTTTTAATTTTATTTATTTTTATTTTTGACAGGCAGAGTGGACAGTGAGAGAAAGAGAAAGGTCTTCCTTTGCCGTTGGTTCACCCTCCAATGGCCGCCGCGGCCAGCGTGCTGCAGCTGGTGCACTGCGCTGATCCAATGGCAGGAGCCAGGTACTTATCCTGGTCTCCCATGGGGTGCAGGGCCCAAGGACTTGGGCCATCCTCCACTGCACTCCCTGGCCACAGCAGAGAGCTGGCCTGGAAGTTGGGCAACCGAGCCAGGTACTTATCCTGGTCTCCCATGGGGTACAGGGCCCAAGGACTTGGGCCATCCTCCACTGCACTCCCGGGCCACTGCAGAGAGCTGGCCTGGAAGAGGGGCAACTGAGCCAGGTACTTATCCTGGTTCCAATGGGGTGCAGGGCCCAAGGACTTGGGCCATCCTCCACTGCACTCCCTGGCCACAGCAGAGAGCTGGCCTGGAAGAGTGGCAACCGGGACAGAATCCGGCGCCCCGACTGGGACTAGAACCTGGTGTGCAGGCGCCGCTAGGCGGAGGATTAGCCTATTGAGCCACAGCGCCGGCTTAAATAGCAATGATTTAGATATGCCAGCTGGCGTTTACTTGTGTTTAAGGGTTTATAATCCTGAAATAATTAGAACACTTAGAGAATACAACTTTGGAAACAGAAGTTTTTTGGAAACAATTTAGAAAACACTCTGCTTCTCATATTTACACTGATTTTTTTTTTTTTTTTTTTTGGTTTTAGCTTTGCAAGGCCTATGGTAACATCTCTGATCCAAAAGAGTCTTCCTTATGCATAAAGAGAGAAATAAAAGTTAGGGAGGGAAAAAAACACTAGCCCAGAATTACTTTTCACCTAAATCTCATATGAAATTGACTGCTAATGTCCCCCAAATACTTAAAACATTACTTCCTTAAGAAAGTATCATAGTAGATCCTCAATAGATAGTCTAATATTAGTCATTTTGGTAGTTCTTGGCACTTTGAAGACAATTATTAGCATGTTTTTCCTGAGAGCCAATATCTTGATATATGGGCACATGATATGAAAGCTTCATATTTCAAATGGAAAGACTTGCCCACATCCAACAACTAACACACATCCATATAACCTCACCCAATAGATCAGAAATTCTGCAAAGGCCCCATATCCTCACACCCCTGGTAAAGACAGAATGGCTGACTTTTCCAAATTAAACAGATAAGGTCTGCTCCTTTTAATTATGTGACTTTATACAAGTTTCCTTATAGCTTTGAGTCACTTTCCTTGTGCATAAAAACAAAAATCAGAAATGCCTACCTTGCTGAGTTATTGCAAAGGTTAAATAATATGACCCCTTCAAAATATGATAATCCATTTCACCATTGGCACTAGTAATACCAGTACAATTACTATATGCTACTTCCTTATAATATCTTTTTTGGATGGGAAATGTTTGCTGACTACAGTTGTAATAAATGATATTCCGCTCTAGACCATTGGAAATTTACATTATCTTGAGACATAATAGTAGCTGTCAGTTTATAAATCAATGGAAAAAATATCCAAAGCTTATCAACCAATCACACTAATTATAAAATACAGAGTATATTCATATTTTATTTTTAAGCAGTAGTTCTCAAATGGAGTATATGATAGCATGGAATGACATAAAATAAATATTACTTACATAGTATTTATTATGTACCAGGCATTATTTAAAGTGCTTTATCCATCCTAATTAATTTAATTATCATAGCATCCCTATGAGGTAGGTATACATGAGGAAACAGGTAGAAATAATTCACTGAAGACTGACATTAGTATAAGTGGTAGATGCTGGGGTTCAAATCTGGGCTTTCTGTCTCGGAGTCTGTACTCACAGCACTATCACCTCTTCATCACTGTCACCTAAGATGCATCAATATTTCCTTTTTTATAATTTTTTATCCTATAGAATATTTTTTAAAGATTTATTTATTTATTTGAAAGTCAGAGTTACACAGAGAGAGGAGAGGCACAGAGAGAGAGAGAGGTCTTCCATCCAATGGTTCACTCCCCAGATGGCCCCAACGGCTGGAGCTGCACTGATCTGAAGCCGGGAGCCAGGAGCTTCTTCCAGGTCCCCCATGTGGGTGCAGGGACCCAAGAACTTGGGCCATCTTCTGCTGCTTTCCCAGGCCAAAGCAGAGAGCTGGCTCGGAAGAGGAGCAGCCGGGACTAGAACCGGAGCCCATAGGGGATGCTGGCACTTCAAGGCAAGGCGTTAGCCCACTGCGCCACAGCGCCAGCCCCTCAATATTTTCTATTCTAGAAGTTTTTTTAGGATCTTAGCAAAAAGCTGGTAATACTTGCACAGTGATTATTTTTAGTTGTAAAACTTAATAGAAATAGGGACTTTATTTTTTAATGATGATGGCTTCCAAATTATTAATATTTTATAGGAATAATTAAGGGACTTCGATCTCATGCTCATCCTCCACAGATATTTTCTATCTAGTCAGGCTCCTCTGAACATGATGTGTAAGGACTCAAGATTAGGGGTAGGCACATGGCCTAGAAGTTAAGTCACTACTTATGATGCCCATATCCTATAAGAGTGTTTGAGTTCAAACAGTTGCTCCATTGCAGCTTGCTACTAATGCACACCCTATGAAGCACAAGGTGATGGTTCAAGTACTTGGACACCTGTCACCCATATGGGAGGCCTGGATTGATTTCATTTTTTGAGGAGGACATATGGGAGGTCTCTCTCTCTCGATCTCTATATCTCTCTCTCTCTCTCCTCCTCTCCCTCTCTCTCCACTATTTCTATCTCTCTGCCCCTCAATTAAATATTTTTTAAAAAGAACTCAAGATTGGTGTGTTAAATGAGTTAATTAACATCAAGGACTTAGCAGAGTGTTTGGTAGTACACACTAGAAGGTATATTTTTGGGTTTTAAACTCCAACCTTTTGGTACCCAAAGCTTAGATTTGTTGTTTTCTCTCTTTCATTTTCACCTCTATATCCAATAGCTAAATTTATTCAACATACACAATATACTATTAGCATTTAATTTAAACCTCATAATTTTTGAAGGGTGCATGTTTTATTTTTTGAAAGAATTTATTAATATATTACAGCAAATGCATGGTAATTATTACAACACAATGCTTATCAATTCTCATTAATATGACATTAATACAAAGAGAATAGATTCAATGTAGTCCTTAGATACAATTCTAAGAATAAAATACATCCCTTTCTCCCCTTATCTTCCTTTATTCTTTTCATTCTGAGTATTTGAGGTACATATTTTTAATTTACATTATAGTCAAACCTAAACACCCCACCAAAATCCGATTAGAACTGACAAACCAGCCAGCGCCGTGGCTCACTAGGTTAATCCTCCACCTGCAGCGCCGGCACCCCAGGTTCTAGTCCTGGTTGGGCGCTGGATTCTGTCCCGGTTGCTCCTCTTCCAGTCCAGCTCTCTGCTGTGGCCCAGGAAGGCAGTGGAGGATGGCCCAAGTGCTTGGACCCTGCACCCGCATGGAAGACCAGGAGGAAGCACCTGGCTCCTGGCTTCGGATCGGCGCAGTGCACCAGCCGCAACACGCCAGCTGTAGCAGCCATTTGGGGGATGAACCAACAGAAAAAGGAAGACCTTTCTCTCTGTCTCTCTCTCTCTCACTGTCTAACTCTGCCTGTCAAAAAAAAAAAAAAAAAAAAAAAAAAAAAGAACTGACAAACCAGTTCAGTAGAGTTGCAGGTTAGAAAATAAACCCTCATCATTTATGATGTACTCAGCACTGTTACACAAGCTCACTGCCCTCCTGAGGTCACAGCCTGCCTTCCACACCGAGTTTCCCTATGAGTTTCTCCAAGAGGATTCCACCTTGGATTATCCTAAGATTACAGGAAGAGTGGCTGTGTAAGGAAGAAAATACCTTCGCAGGAGTATTTCAGGTCCACCAAGGGATACTAAGATGACTTGATCGCAGCTCTGAAAGAATGAGAAGCAGGGTGAAAAGCCCCTGCTACCTCCAGTTCCCTCTCTCCATCATTCCTTCAGTTACTGAGTGACAGGGAATATCAAACCCTGAGTTTGATTACACCAAATAGCAAGCAAAGAGAAACTGCCACCTATAGTGAGGACTAAGCCTCCATTCCATAGTCATTCTGGTCATTTACCTTCTTATCCCACGCTTTTGCTACTCACAATAAACAGCAAAAGGAAAAAGATATTAACTTAAATGGATATAATTATAATTAATTCCATTATTTAAAAGTATGGCTGACATGTAAGACTTATCAACATTATAAAAACTTTAAACATGTTTGTCTGGACTTCACAGGATTTAGAACACTATCTGTAAGAAGCAATTATAAAAAAAGAAAAAGAAAAATATTGAATGAGGACAAAATGAACTTATAAACTAAGTATTTAATACTTTCCAACTCAATGCATTTAAACCATTTGCATTTTGTTCCTCTTCATTAAAAGCCAAATTATTCTAAGGCTTTCATATTCATTCAGCCATAGCTTTTATTTGTTTTATTTTAGCTCCCAGTGCAGTTCATTTTAACACCTAGATATAATTTTAATGCAATTACACAGCATTATGTTAGGAGCCCAAGAATATCCCGAAAATGAAGTCATATCTACATTCACAGGTGGTCTACAACTTCCTAGTTCTTATGAAGAAATATCTTATGCACAGCCCAAGAAAGGCGCCAATTGCTCATATCCTCCCCAAGCCTTAATACTTTGTATTGGCTGATAATAATGAGAGCTTACTTGAGTCTTCATTCCATACAGCTTAACCTATTAGCCTTTATATCTTTTTAACTATCTAAGGGTAATTCTCATGAATCCTGATCAAAATCTAATGTGGACAAAAGCACCCAAGAAATGAATCACAATTACCAAATACAGTCCTAGCTGGAACTGATTCCTTATTTATCCAGAACGACACTTGAGAAAGAATCACTGTCATTATGCATGGAATATACGTCTGAATCATGAAATAGCCCATCTTCCGTCTGAGGTGGAAGTAAACCGTCATAACAATATATTCACCTGCAAAGAAACATGAAGAAACGGCATTACAGGTCTTGCAGGCAATTACACAGTAGCTTCATAGTCATATTTTAAATAAACAATATTCTGGGCAAATAAATGAACATTAGTTCACTTCAACACAAACAAAAAGTATGCAGTTTCCTAAGTAGGCAGAAAATGAAATTTGACATCATTGCATAGAAAAATATTTTCGTTCTTTTAGTGACTAAACAATTTACTAAATTGGGCTGTAAGTTTTTTTTAAATGCTATATTTTCAAAAGCCCTTGAAATGTCCTCCTCTACCATGAAGGTCTGATAGTGCTAAAGCAATTAGCTTTCATTTTCAGTATTTTTCGAGAACTAAACATACATTCATACAACATACATATGGAAAAGGAAAGCCTGATTTTGGAAATTAATAAGATCTCTATATATTTCATTAACATAGAAAATTTTATAGGTTATGTATATAAATGGATATGTAGGCCATTCATATATATATATATATATATATATTTCATACATGCACACACACAAGAAGTTATGTTAGTTTTATTTGTATTTAGAAAAATACAAATAGACACATAGAACATAAAGATATGCCTTGTATAACACCCTTCAGTTCAAGCATGTTTTACTAGCATATAGATGAAAACCAAAAAAGCTAATGAGTGAAACAAATGATAAGATGTCTGGGAGCTGCTGATAAACTTCATTACTGGTACATCTGAAGCAGTGACCATAGTTATAGACTCCTGTTCTTCCAGATTCAGTTTAAATCTCACAGACAGGAAAATGAGTATCTTTCAATAGTCACTTTTTCTGGACAGATGAAAAGCAAAGGCTGCTGTGTCATTTCATAATTGATGTGAAGACGCTTTCCCCAAAATGATGACAGTGTGTCAGGTGTCGTGAAGACAAAAGTCATGGGAATTTAGAAGAGAGATGCACTACCACTGACTTCATAACAGGGTGTGTAGATTTATACAAAATGTTTCTAATACAGGAAGGAGTAGGCTAAATTCTTTTCCTTATAACAAAAACTCACATATTAATTTTGTTTCCCCATAGAATAATTTCCATATTTTATTTTAATTGTCAACCCCCTTTACTTAGGTATGATGGACATAAAATTTTTGTGCATGTTGAATGCATGCAAGTGGATGACTTCAGAGATAAATACACGTCTGTGAAACCATCACCATACTCTACGGCAAAAGCCTGTCCACCTAAAAAGTGGTTTTCCACCTACTTATTTATTATTTTTTGTTTGTGATGAGGAGACTTAGGACAATTTTAAGAATACAATATGTTGTTGTTAACTACAGGCACTATGCTGTCCAGTCACTAATCCAGAACTAACTCCTCTTCAGTTGAAATTTGGCACTCTTTGACTAACAACTCCTTGTACCCTATACCCCTGTCCCCAGTCCCTGACAATGTTGTTCCTATGAATTTGACTATTATAGATTCATAACCCATTCACAACACTGCTTGATCATTTTTTTCATAAAACAAAACCAAAAACCCCTCCAGTCTTTCTTTGTTCCAGATACGTAATGACTGCTCATTTTGTACTGATGCAAATTTAACATTCTGATTTGACAGTCAAGACCCTTTAAGAAGGTCTGCAGAAGTTAGGATGTTTGTGTTTGAATTTTGGTGGTTTTTTTTTTTTTTTTTGCCATTTATTAGCTAAATGACTCAAGCAAGATAAAAATACATTGTATTCATATCCTTCTCAAACCTGTGAAATGCAGATAGTAATAGTATACAGGCCATGGGATAGTTATGAGAATTTAATGAGTTAAAATATGAGAAAAAATTTAGAATGGTGCATATTAGAGGCCATTAACTGCTGAATAAATTTTAACTGTTGTGATGGCCAAATATTGCATTGTACCAGAACTCATAGGTTGACATCTAATCATCCACAGTGGTCTTAGGAGGTGAGCTTTGTCAGCAGTGATTAGATCATACAGCAAAGCCCTCAAGAATGGGATTGGTGCCCTTAAAAAGAGACCCTGTGTGAGCGTCCCCACCTCCCACCCCAGCCCATATGTGAGAGTCCCCATGTGCTGATACACCAAGAAAGCACCACTTCTAAACCAAGATGTGAACTCCCACCAGACACTGAATCTGTTGGTGCCCTGTCTTGAATTTCCCAGCCTCCGGAACTCTGAGAAATAAACACTATCCAGTATATGGCATTTTGTTATAACAGACAACTATCATCAAGTAATTTTTTCCTGATGATGTGTATACAAGGTACAGGTTTATAATCAGCTGACTGTCCCATCAAAAATGATAAAAAACTAAGTCCTATGATTATTTCCATTCACATTCCCCCCAAAATGACCAAGAATCATCAATTATAACCACCCATCTACTCATGTAACCACTTTAATGCATACCATCAATATTTTTCATAATTAAAATTTAGATTTTTGCTTTACTTTGGAGGAAAGAGGGAGAGGATGGCACTATAAAAGTGAGCAAAATAAGAAAAAAAAAAGGAAATTTGGAAAGCACCAAAAAAAAAATACAGGGCTAAACTTTCTGCCACATATTTTTGCTAAAAATAGTTTTAATGTATTTGATTACTGCCTCTGATTTCTGAATATGAAAACCAAGTCACTTTTCATGTCTCACCACCGTAGGATGTATTTTAAACTAAAGCAAGATTGTATAAATGAATAAAATTCTGAGCTGTAGTTTGTACATCAACGCTGTCTGGAAATGTTTGTTGTTTCCCTGAAAACATTAGATATTTCAGTGAAAAAGTTAGGACACAACTCTACTGCTAATGCCAAGCAGCATGTCGACTTCAGTCATTAAGTATCTCACCCGTAATCGATTTGATAGTTTCACTTGATACGGTTTGCCCAATCAAGTCATATTGAACTAAGCTGGATGATTCCTTTGGCACTTCGACTGACTTTTCTGGCCCTTTTGTCCAGGTGTAGATCATCTCACTCTTCGGATATGCATCTGAATGAGAGCACAGATGGTTCAAGTCAGTGCTCTTTTCATTAGCACTGGTGTCCAACACGTAAGAATATTACACATGTCCAAAAAAACTGAGTAAATACAAATGATATTCATTTTGATTTATCATTTGTCATTCATTATAAAGATGTCTATTATTTAAAAAACTGGACTATTAAATAGTCTAACAAATCAGCAGAATTAATTGCTTTTACACCAAAATGTTGGGGGAGGGAAAACTGAAACTGAAACATTTACAGTCTTCCATATGCATCAGTTTTATAGGTGTGATTCCATGCTAACAGGATAAGCCATTGAAAAACAGATATGTTAAACCCCCGAACAATACTATCAAACTCCTACTTCTTTCACCTCTAACTCATCAAAGATCGATCAATACTGACATCTTCCATCCTGATGCAGTTCTGCCATTTAGAAGCATAGCAGATGCTGCCTATAATGACATAACAGAAAAAAAATCCTACTGGTGGGAGAGCTCTCCAGGGGCCACCTATTCTGGATTCTGCCTCTGGGCAAAATCCAGGCTATTTAGGAACCATTCTACAGTGACAACTGGCATTGCTGTTTGTAAAACTCTCCAGGGAATATAATTATACAACCAGTTCCACTACCTTTAAACTCTTACAATCAGTACATTTTCCCTTCCATCTTCAACAAATCCCTCCCAGCAGCAATTTAGGCCCATTTGCTATTGTTCAGTTCAAATGGAGACCAGCTGCTTGCCTCCCAGACTACCCAGAACAGATCGTCTGGCTCGCACACAAATAGCTCAAAAGAACCAAAATGAATGTTGTGCCACCCCCCTTCCTTCAAACCATCCGAAAATGGCTAGAGCACAGTAGGTCCTCAGTGAAATTCTTTTAATTCTACCAAAGGAGCCGATACCTAGGGAGACTCTCTTTACAAACAACCTTGCAAAACAAGCTATGAGGCTCCTGTTGCCACTGAGCACTTTACAGTTATGTGTCAGTGTTTACCTCCTGAAGTATATTCATGCTTTGTCATATTTAAAACCCCTGTATTTTATGTTCTTGTCCATTACATTTTAAATCAGGCATCCTTCTTTTTGCTACCCTTCCTTCCTAGAATAAACTCTTTGCTCAACTTTCTTATTCCTCTGAATTATAAATGAAGTGAAATAATATTTTCCTATTTCCTGAGTCACTGAGTAGGGTACAACTCCTTAACCCCCAGTCCAAAACACCATGTTCCAAGATGTGATTTCTTTACTTCTTTGCTTTATACAAACACTGCCTGAGCCCCAGCTATCTTCAAGTCACTCTTTCTATGAGAACTAGAGGGTATAAGAGATGCAAAAGACTTCCTCTAAATAAGAAGTGTCTTAAATGAAATTTGAATTATTATAGCACAAATGGATTTTAATTTTAGACAGGATGAGACCACTCTATCTGTGTATTTTTCTGATTTATCTTCTCTCATTAAGTCATTGGTCACGAAGCAAATGATTTATCTCTGGATTCAAGTTAGCCCACTGAATATTGTAATACCAGGGGTTATAAAAAGAATGATGACTATGGATCCTCATTAAGTTAAGCGAGGAGCAAGGATAACAGCAGGACACAGTTTCACAATCAGTACAACTAAGAGTCTAAAGCAATAGTAAAAGCCAGCATCTATTTTTGTTAGATTCTGATTGAATCAAATACTTGAGGCTGACCTTAGAAGAGGCAATCACATTTTGCTACCACCTCAGAGAAGGGAGCTTGAGGAAGGGAATAGTATATACATATTTTCTGATTTGTTCAGCTCATCCTCTTGCTTTCAACTCTACAAAATTTCCCTCACTCATCTAGTCCAGTCCTCTTCCTAGGGGACCATCCTCTTCTAATGTACTGCATCTTCACGTGTACAAAACCCATCACCTCTAACTCTCCTGTGCTGCACTCTGGCCTTTCCAAAATCCAAACTCCATGCAAAAGCTAAAGGGAAACTGTGGAAGTGTCAATCAGAGGATGCCACGCCTCTTTGTAAAACTTTCCAAGGCTCCTTAGAGTTTAGGTAGAATCCAAGCTCTTGAATGTGGTAGATAAGTGCAATATGAACTCCGACCACACCTTCTATGCGATTGTGGGGCTTTAAACACTTCTCTTCCAACAGTGCTGCTTACGTTATTTTAACCTATGTCCTATCTGGAAGCTCTGAATCTTCTCTGGCTTTTTCCCAATACTCCCATATAAAGGGCTCTGCTTGAAATGGAAACTTTTAAGTTGTCAAAATAACTTTCTATGTCATATCACCAGTACATGGAGTTCAGAGGTCCTTAAATGTCACCACAGACCACCAACTATTAATTATGACTCTGTTTACCTCTACTATGTATACAAGTGGGTTTCTTATTTTGTGAAGGAAAAGAGGTGGTCTCCTAAAAATCAAACTTCATACTGTCAATTTTGTCTTGGACACGACTTAACTGTTGGATCATGAAAAAATCATATGTTTATATAATATTATTAGTTTGCATGAGGTAATCACAATTTCTAACAATATTCTTATTGTAACTTACAACTCCCAAATTTCAAAGGGCAAGCATGACCATCCATGGGAAAATCCACCAATCTCATGGGACACTCCGCACTTATGGTGAGTCTATGATGGAAAAATGCAATTAAATAAAATCAATCTTTTCTTAATAATTTTATAACTCCTTAAAATGGAAAGGAGAGGAAGAAGGAAGGGAGGGAGGAGTTGAAGGAAAACAGGATAAAATGGAAAGAAGGAAAAAGAAAAGATTACCTCATTGTATACAAAATAGTGCCATTTCTCATAATTCTAAAAAGCTTATTTGGAGCTGTCATATTATGTGAAACAGATTTCTTTCCATTCCTGAAGAAAGTATCAGGGGTCCACACTTTTGTTACCATCATATTATTCAATCTCAAGATTTCAATAGGGCCATCATATTTGAGTCTTTTGTCAATCCATGTCTGTCTGAAGAATACATCCATTGTGTATTCCTAAGGAAATCAGTTTGTGATATGCTCAAATCACAGATGACTACATATAAATATACAGAAAGAATGCAAGTGCTAGCCTCTTTCCAACTCAAAAAATGCCTGTCCCAAATGAAATTAACAGGAGAGGAAATGAACTTAAATCAATGGAGCAAAAATACTCTCAGCAATTAGAATATATTATGTCCATTTTAGTACCTTTGTCTTCCACATTCGTAAGAAATAAATTACCACACATATTAATCATTCAAGAATAATTACTATAATTAAATGAAACTGCCAGCACCGGTAATTACAGTTGTGCTTTACTTTAGACCAGATAGCAAAAATCAGTCAAATGTGTAACAAATATCATTGCATAATTAATCATAAAATTGAAGGCATTTCTTTAAGACAAAATAAACTATGTAAAAGATTAATTTTATTTTCACAAAGGTTATTAACATTAGTCAAATAACCCAAGGATTTCACATCACCAATAGCCTAAGGTCAAGGGGAAAAAATAAAGTGGTTCTTTATCATGGACAATAAATATATTTAATATTATAGTATAACTGAATGGATGAATTTTTCTTGAATCATTTCTGGTTTTTTAAGCTCTTTAAGCATGAGAGAGGGGTGGGAGAGTAGGATAGTGGTAAGTAGCAAATAATTGGGCTGACATGAAGTACTATTTGCAATTAGTACTACAGTACATTGTATACAATTATTTTATAAGAAAACTAATTATAATTTTGTCCTCCACAGTTTTCTAAAAAAAAAAAAAAAAACAAGGAAGCACACAAGCAAAACACTACACACAGGCAAAACACTACACACAGTTTGTGCAATGGGGATTAGTAAAAATGTTCCTTCTGTTGAGAATAACTCCAAATCAACAAATACTGAAATGTTAGAGCTGAAAGGCAAATTCAGTGTCTAATTCTTTATTACCATTTAGTAGAGTAGGCCACTCTTTTGGCTTTCCAGCTTTGTGCTGACTGATGAGAAAATAAATATTAATTGCCTCCTTTTCTGGCATATTTTCTTCAAATCTCAAAAGGTAAATTAAATTTCCCAAATACCTACCATTTCAACATCAGAAACAGGTCCAAAGCTGGTGACATATATGTCAGTTTTTACTTCTGTAACAGGACCTAGTAGGTTTGAAGTAAATAAGTGTGAAAAATAATTATCTTTTTTACAGACTAGGAGAGTTAGTTAATTAAAGAATAAATACAGATACAACATATCATGTTTTTATTAGCATTTTATGTTTTCAGTGAGCTAATGAATCTCTAAAAAAAAATGTAGACCAAAGCGTAACAAAACTGGAAAATAGTGCTTACATAAAGGAAAAGAGAAACCCCAATTACTTACCAGGAACCTTGTTTCTTCAAAGATAGATCACCCCTGGGCACTGTTACAACAGGCAGTGCAGATACACAAAAGCTTTCAGTCTCTGTGATTTTTTTAGAGCCCATCATGGATTGGCCCCTAAAGAAGTGAGCTGTTAAAAGAGGAAATGTGGCCACAGAAGCGAAGAGAAGAAAAACCATAAACTGTAAGGAATGCATCTTTGGAGAGTTGAGGGTACTGGTAGATGACTTCAAGAATGATCCCTGTCATCTGTAACAACAGGCTCACCATCCACTGGTGATTGGGAGCAAAGACAGCTCTCTTTAAAGTCACACCTATTCGTGCTCTGCCACTTACTGCTGTGTGATGTTGGGCAAGTCACTTGAGCCCTCGGTAACAGCAATCACACCTGTTGGGCAACATTTTGATAGAGACAAAATGATGCTGCTGAAGTAAGATGCTGAGTGAGGTCATTCTCCCATGAAACTATTCATTCCATATCAGTTTTGTTTGGCTTCTGATAATTGTCACAACTGAGACTCTTTTCTATGTCTAAATAAGACTGGTTCTTGAACAGCTATGTGGGTATTTTGGAAGAAAACAAAGATGGCACCATGGTAACGTTTTAGCTAATAAAGATCACTGCCCCAATCTGGGTTTAGCATGATGCTGAAAAATCTGGGATTTTGGAGTTCAAATTTGGCTCTAACACCTCTAGTTGTATGACCTTGATCAAGTATCCTCCCAGGTAAAGATGATTTTAATGAGTATTAAGTTTCTAGATATTTAGTTTTTAATTCAATTCTCTATGAACTTTTTGAAGTAACCTCAATGTTAAGTCACACATCCTATCATCAGAACTTGATATGCTCAATAATGGCAGTAGTTATTATAGATAATATAGCATTTTATTATTAATAAAAATAGAAAAATAGTTGCCCCCTTGCACATTATTTCCTTAAATGATGATTTATAATATTGTATGGCCCGGGGCTAAATACTCCACAAGTGATCAAAATAACATCTGCTATCAAGATGATATATCTCCCCTGGATATTGGTTAGGAAATTACATTTATGCCAAAAAAGGCAAAAAGTAGTTGGTACAGCTTAATGACCTAGCTCTGAAGTTATTCTCATAAAAATGAAACTGTGTATTTCTCACTCTAAAAGGTGAATGAATATTGAGCCATCTAAGGAAAGATAGCTGGAGGGAAAATGACAAATTTTTTTATTGAATAAGTATTGTAAGAAAAAAAATATTACTACAGCCTTTGGAAGTACAGTGAGATAAAAAGTATAAATCAGCCTAATCTATCCAGTTTTCATTTTTAAAATGTCATATCTCTGGAAAGCACGTAAGTTTACTAAATTTTAATTGAAATGAAAAATTGGAAGCAACAGAAATAGTAGTAGTAAGTTCATTGGAGCTAAATTGTTTGGTCCAGCAACAATTGGGTAATCCAGGAAGCAGAGAATGTATATTGAACCCCAGAAGAATGAAATTTTACTCAAATGGATTCAAGAGTGGGAGCAATCACTTTGTTAGATTTCTAAAGATAACTGTGAAAGCATTAAAGAGCAGAAATAAAAACTTTCTTCAGAAAGTTCATGGAAATGTGTATTATGAAAAAGCTATGAATTAATTTCATGAAAACAACTTAATTTATAATTCTATTTTCTCATGAACTTTTGAACTATCTTCATATCACTGAGCCATGGCAACAGGAGATAAGTTGCTCAGAACAATTAAGGTTGCCTACATCCTGACAACTGGCCTATTTGACAAGATTTTCATGAAATCAAAAGTTAGTTTGGGGGCCGGTACTGTGGACTAGAGGGTTGAAGCCCTGGCCAACAGAGCAAGCATCCCATATGGGTGCCAGTTTAGGACCCAGCTGCTCCACCTCCTATCCAGCTCTCTGCTATGGCCTGGGAATGCAGTAGAAGACGGCCCAAGTCCTTGGGCCCCTGAACCCACGTGGGAGACCCAGAAGAAGCTCCTGGCTCCTGGTTTTGGATCAGGGCAACTCCGGCCCTTGCGGCCAATTGGGGAGTGAACCACTGGATGGAAGACCTCTCTCTCTCTCTGCCTCTCCTCTCTCTGTGTCACTCTGACTTTTGAATAAATAAATAAATCTTTTTTAAAAAGTTAGTTTGAAGATCAGTTTAGGAAGTTATTCTCACACTTTCAACTAACTAAAGTGTGAGAATAACTCCAACTACATAAGTAGCTCCCAGAGGGCTTATTATAGCACAGGTTGCTGGATGCTGCCCCTAGATTGGCTAATTTAGAAGGTTTAAGGTAGAGTATCACAATTTTCATTTCTAACACATTCTTAGGGAAGACTGTTAACTTTAGTTTACACACAGTGTTCACCTGTTTTCTAGATTAATATTTACAATACTGCATCTTATAAAATATTAATGCCATAGGTGTTTCAAGGAGGGGAATCCTAGGAGAAAGAGGAAGTAGGCCAAGCCAATAATTTCCTTTGTAAGTTTATTTTAAGATGTATGACTGGGGGCCAGTTGTTGTGGCAAAGCAGGTAAAGCCACCACCTGCATCACTAGCATCCCATATGGGTACCAGTTCAAGACCTTGCTGCTCCACTTCCAATCCAGCTCCCTACTAATGCACCTGGGAAAGCAGAAGAAGATGGCCTGAGTGCTTGGACCCCTGCACCCATGGGAGACCTGGAAGAAGCTCCTGGCTGCTGGCTGTGGCCTGACCCAGCCCTGTCTGTTGTAGCCATTTGGGGAGTGAACCAGTGTATGGAAGATATCTGTGTCTTTCTGTCTCTCCCTCTTTCTCTGTAGCTCTGCCCTGAAAATAAATAACTAAATATTTTTAAAAATGTGTGACTGTACCGGTGCCACGGCTCACTAGGCTAATCCTCCGCCTTGCGGCGCTGGCACACCAGGTTCTAGTCCCGGTCGGGGCGCCGGATTCTGTCCCGGTTGCCCCTCTTCCAGGCTACCTCTCTGCTGTGGCCTGAGAGTGCAGTGGAGGATGGCCCAAGTGCTTGGGCCCTGTACCCCATGGGAGACCAGGAGAAGCACCTGACTCCTGCCATCGGATCAGCGCGGTGTGCCGGCCGCAGTGCGGCGGCCATTGGAGGGTGAACCAATGGCAAAGGAAGACCTTTCTCTCTGTCTCTCTCTCTCACTGTCCATTCTGCCTGTCAATAAAATAAAATAAAATAAAATAAAATTAAAAATAAAAATAAAAAACAATTGCAGAGAAATTCTGAAAAATAACAGTAAAAATAAATAAAAAAGTATGACTGTATATTAATTCTTGTAGTTATAGTGATTCTATAATAATGATAACAGGCATTGTCAAATTCTTACATAACAGTGTTTTCAATGATTTTTGAAAAATGCTTTGTGTTCAGTTATAACCTTGGTATTTATGACATTGTTCCATAACTTCTTAACATAATTACAACATAGATCCTTGAGTTTTAGATCCTGAAAACATGATTAGTTTGGGTTTTCATTGGGACACTCATTTAATAAATTTTCATTGAGTGAGCCCCAGATGTATGCCAGGTTCCATGTAAGGTCCTGATGCTTTAGTGGTAAACAAGACTGCCAAGGTCCCTGCTTCAAAATGTTAAAAGTGTATATAAAGAGAATCGAAAATGAATCCTCATGTGAATGGAAGGGGAGAGGGAATGGGAAAGGGGAGGGTTGCGGGTGGGAGGGACGTTATGGGGGGGAAGCCATTGTAATCCATAAGCCGTACTTTGGAAATTTCTATTCATTAAATAAAAGTTTAAAAAAAGAGTATAAATAGTAAAGAAACAAATCAAATGACAGAATGCTACAATTTCTAAGAGGATAAAAAACCAGTTTTGTAAGACAGTAAAAGAAAAGAGGGAGCACTCCTGATTTGGTTAGTTAATTCTTCAGAGCAGTGACTAAAAATTTATTTGGGCCGGGGGAGGAGAAAGTCCCCATTGACGGATTCCCAGGATGGCTGTGACTATGAAGCCAAAGCAGAAGAATGGAATCAGGAACTCAATCCAGGCTTCCTGCATTGGTAGCATGAACCCCAATTACTTGAGTTATTGAGGCTGCCTCTTAGAGTTCCATTAACAGCAAGTTGGAACCAGGAGCCAAGCATAGGTGTCATGTATCAGAAACAGTTATCCAACCTTACCATTCCAATGTGAGATATGGGCAATGACTTTTAAACAGAAACTTTAAAGATGAGCATGAGCCATTGGGAGAGCTAGAACTAAGTTGGAGAGAATTACAAGGGGAAAAGGCCAGAGGCAGCAAAAGGAGTTTAGTGTATTCAGAAACTTTCTAGAAAAGAGGCTAGTAGAACTGAAGCAAAGCAAGTGAAGAAGAAAATGATAAGAAATGAAAGCCACGAAGACAGAATGGAAGCCAGGATGCAGTGGACACAGCACCCTTCCTGAGCCCTGGCATCTTTTAAGCGACATATTTATGATACATGTTTATGGTGATCATTGCTAAAACTACATGGAGAAAAACTTGTAGAAATGCCAGTGAAAGACAGGGAGATGCATAAAGAGGTGACAGCTAAATTACATTTCCTCCAAATTCATATGCTGAAATCCAAATTCTCAGAACATTGCAATGTGACCATAATTGGAAGCAGGGGATTTTAAGTGATAATTAAGCTATAACAACGTCACTAGGATGGATCTACTCCAATATACTGCTATCCCTACAAGAAGAGGTGACTGGGACACAGACACTTAGAAAAAAAGAAGGCCAGCTGCAATCCAAGGAGAAAGGTCACAAAAGAAACCAAACTGGAT